CCCTTGCCCCCCTCGCCCCCCGCCCCCACCCCTGAAAATATAGCCTGGATAATCATCTTCTCAGGGTCTCTACTCTGAAATCCTCTAACCGCTTCCTTACCGAGGGACATTCCCATCACCATTAGAAATTTCAGGAGGCTTTGTAGAAAGGAGTGAACACTTCCAACAGCTTAATAAGCATCTGGAAGTTTAATCCTTGGGGAAAAGATGAGTTTTGGGGGTAATGCGACACAGTAACTCATGTGTTTTAAAACCAATAAACCTTCCAAGTCGCTTAGGGCTCTGGCTCCAAAATTGCTTCAACTATCAACACCACGGGAAAAAACACCTGAAAGTAAATATAACCAGTGGAGAATTGCATTCATCATCAAAAAAACGGAAGTTTCAGCTCTTCTTCGACAAAGTGGGTGGCTCTGAAAAGAGCCTTTGGATTAAGTGCCTATACAAGCACTTACTTAGAGCTGGTGTACTTAGTAACGGCCTTGGTGCCCTCGGAAACAGCATGCTTGGCCAGCTCCCCAGGGAGCAGTAGGCGCACAGCCGTCTGGATCTCCCTAGATGTGATCGTGGAGCGCTTGTTGTAATGCGCCAAGCGCGACGCCTCACCCGCGATGCGCTCAAAGATGTCGTTGACGAACGAGTTCATGATACCCATGGCCTTGGATGAGATGCCGGTGTCTGGGTGGACTTGCTTCAAAACTTTGTATACGTAAATGGAATAGCTCTCTTTACGACTACGCTTGCGTTTCTTCCCATCTTTCTTCTGCGCCTTAGTGATGGTCTTCTTAGAACCCTTTTTAGGGGCCGGAGCAGATTTAGATGGCTCTGGCATAGTCCTTCCGAAGAGCTGTAGTAAACGTTAAACCACCTTCTCTACAACTAAAATTAATAGTGTGAAGAGTTCAGAACCCATTTATTTATAGTCGTTCAATGCAAACGAGCAATCAAGAGTTCTCACTTTTGATTGGATAAGAGTAGTACAGGTTCACTAAGGGAGGGAGGGGCGTAGTTTATGCAAATAAAGGATACACAATTTGTTTTTCTATTGGATAGAAAAACAGCATACTTTTGACCAATCAGATAGCTTACTGGGGCATCTCTGTACTGTCTGTAAAATTTGTTCATATGTCATCCAGCGTTTTCTCCTTTTGCTCACAATGTTTGTTGTTAAATTGTATAAGGTAATTACGTCTGGACATGGTGAATAAGTAGGCAAGATTCGAGCTAAAGCTAAAACTCGATCTTCTCCAGCTGGTTTGCAGTTCCCAGTAGGCCCTGTACGCTGGTTGCTCCGTAAGGGCAACTACTCCAAACGGGTCGGTGTCGGGGCCCCCGTGTACCTGACGGCCGAGATTTTGGAGCTGGCGGGCAGCCCGACACGCGACAACAAGACTAGGGTCATTCCGCGCCACCTGCAGCTGGCCATCTATAATGAGGAGGAGTTCAACAAGCTGCTCGGTAAAGTCACCATCGCTCAGGGCGGCGTTCTGCCCAACATCCGGGCCGTGCTGCCGCCCAAGAAGACTGAGAGTCACCGCAAGACCAAGGGCAAGTAAAGCCTAGACAAAATACGAAATTCTTTTTTATAAACTGTCTAGAGGTTCTTTTCAGAGCCATCTACATTTTCATTAAAAAAGCTGGTAGCCAGGTATCTATCTCTGTTTTGTAAAAGACAAAGTGACGTCAAAACACTGACTTCCAGGGAAACGACTTCCCACAAGCATTATTTTAGTGCATACCGGGTGAAACTTCTGTAGTCAACAAAAGCTTTTCTAAAGAGGAGGCAGAAGCATCGCTCGGGCTTGAGCATAACAAAAAGCAAAGAAATTTTCATTTTGCTAGTAATAAACCTGTTCGGGCTTTCAAGGTTGTAAATTTAAGCAAAATCTATTTTTTTCTGACGAAAGTTTGGTTGCAGTCCAGTGTGTATCTGTCATCAAATCGATCTTTACATGTGATTTTTTGAATCATCCACCCAGTGACACTGCCATGTAGTTTCACAAAAGAAAAACTCAGGGTTAGGGGAGCTGTGATGACCAGAGAAAGTGGCAGTCCTGGCGGTTCGAGATTTATTTAAACCTAACCCAGCTGTCTGGGGGAGAAAAAACAATTGTACTCAGTTTAGTGTGTGGACCAGCTGTATTGACAACCCGCGAGCGTGTCAATATTGACACGCTGAGAATATTGAGAATATCAGGGGAACTCATCAACTGAATCGGAAGTTAACATGGTCCTTAAGTGTCTCGTTATGCACGCTGTAGTTGGCGGCAGGATGAAATAGAACGTATGAAAATTCCTTCAGATCCCAGAGGCAAAAAAAGGCACCGGGAATGGGTGGTAAAGTAATTCATCCAATCAGATTCTCTAGTAATTACTTCTCCTTCCCGGTCACCTTTCAGCCAATGGTTTTATCGCGCGGTACTTTTGAAAAACTACAAGACCAATCAGAATGCTTCTAACGCTATTTAAAGACAACTGCCTAAGCTTGCAACAGGCCTGTGGGTGTGTGGTCAATCACTCGTCATGGCTCGCACTAAGCAGACCGCTCGCAAGTCCACCGGCGGCAAGGCCCCACGCAAACAGCTGGCCACCAAGGCGGCCCGGAAGAGGCATCTAGTCATGGCTCGCACTAAGCAGACCGCTCGCAAGTCCACCGGCGGCAAGGCGCCACGCAAGCAGCTGGCCACCAAGGCGGCCCGCAAGAGCGCGCCGGCCACGGGCGGCGTGAAGAAGCCGCACCGCTACCGGCCCGGCACGGTGGCCCTGCGCGAGATCCGCCGCTACCAGAAGTCCACGGAGCTGCTGATCCGCAAGCTGCCGTTCCAGCGCCTGGTGCGCGAGATCGCGCAGGACTTCAAGACCGATCTGCGCTTCCAGAGCTCGGCTGTGATGGCGCTGCAGGAGGCGTGCGAGGCCTACCTGGTGGGGCTCTTCGAGGACACACCAACTTGTGCTATCCACGCCAAGCGCGTCACCATCATGCCCAAGGACATCCAGCTTGCCCGCCGCATCCGCGGGGAGAGAGCATAAAGAAAGTTATCATCCTAACTGAAAAAAGGCTCTTTTAAGAGCCACCCACAATTTTACTTAAAGGCGGTTGTGACATGATTGCTGAGGCGTTAGAAATTACTAATGGTGGAAAGCGTATAGTAAAAATTCAAGTTAAGGGAATTCAGTATTCATAAAAACCAAAGTAAGCCTTTATTCGGGTTAGAGTTATTCAGGGGGTTTTCTCTGATAATTAAAATACTGTCTTCAGGTCAATTAGTCTACCTAAACTGGAATTGTAGCTCAGGCAATAGGAAATGACCTCAGTACTCACCAGCAGAGATCCACTAAATTTATGTAACCTTAAGATTTGCCTATGCATCTTAAAATCAAGGGGGTTTGAGATACTGAAGGGTACCAACTGTAGAGCTTTTTTTACCCATGCCTCCTTGTAATACAAAGAACATTTACTTAAATGTTAATTTTTTTTAAAAAGTTTCCACATATTGATGTACAATGTAACTGATGGAGCAGATGGTTTTCTGAAGCTTAACGCTTACACAACGCAGTGACTTAAAACTAGAAACAAAATTACAAAGTAGATACTGAATATTTATAATGAGAAAATTAACAAATTCCAATTTTACAAAAAAAAACCATAGCTATCACAAAATTCAGAAAAATAGCACATTTTATTAAGTTGAATACACACTGCAATGCTTTATTTTCCTATATTTTTTTTTTTTTTTTTTTTTTTTTTTT